AGGAAGAGGAAGAGTGTGTGTGTGTGTGTGTGTGTGTGTGTGTATGTGTATACACACACACTTAACATACTGACTTCATATTGTTCAAAAACCACGTGAAAAACTAATTTTGCCTCAGTTATGCTTTTGCCAGGAATTTAAATCTTCCATGAATTAAAAATAGTAGCCCCATTGCAAGGATAAATAAAATTTCCCTCTAGTTTAGTACAGAAACTAGAATACCATAAAGACAAGACAGCAGGTTTAACAAACATTGCGGGTTTTTTTCATGCGGCATATGCCTGTCCTCACCGTTTAACCATTTAAAATTCTGGGGAACTCCTTGTAGTAAATATTAGTAGCCAGAAATACTAGCCAACTAATTTAATCATACCTGAAATTAATTAGGGCCAGAAATGTACTGTTCATGGCCCAAAGAAAATGGGGACTAGTTAAAAAAAAAAAAGTACAGCAGTGGCCAGGGACTGTATTTCTTCCTTGAGCAAATTATTCCTAGCAAAAAATAAAACTTACATACTGCGGAAAGATTCTGTTTCAGCTGTGTTTGTTTTCTGGGGGCTTCAGAAATGTTCTTCCTCCAAATGATAAATCCATTCTACCATCTCCTCCTTCTGCACACATCACCCTTGCAAGGGGACCCTATTGATCCTAAAGCTTTGGAACCTCTTTCAGGGACCCCATTACATGTTCCATCACGAAGAGCAACTAGACTGATAGGAAGAGGAGCCATGGCCTTTGCTGTGGCAGAAACCAATTCTTTCCCTAAGAAACCCTGGTCTCTTGCTGTAGGCAGATCGCAAGATCGGTTGGCTTTTGATGAGTTTCAAAGCTGTATTCTTTGCTCTAGAACAGTGTCTTCCAACCTGGCAATTTCCAGATGTGTGGGCCTCAACTCCCAGAATTCTCAGGAATGGCTGTGTTGCCTGGGTAATTCTGGGAATTGAAGTCCACACATCTGGAAGTTGTCCAAGTTGGGAAACATTACTCTAGATACTTTAAAGATGGTTTGCTCGCTCCAAATTTGATCATTTTTTTAAAAATGTTTTATTGCCGAAGGGGAGGGGATCTTTTGGGCTGAAAAGCAGCTTATAAATATTTTAATAAACTAAAACCCAAACATGCAGTAGAGTATTAAGCCATTGTCAGACCTTCCAGCTGTTCTCTTGCAAAGATCGAGAATGGGCAAATATTGGGAAACAGGTTTGATAGAATTTGAATTAACAGAGGAGGGGTGGATTTCTACTCCATTTCTCTGCTCAATGCAGGGGCTACTGAACCATTAAAAAAATGTCCAGCTTCTACTTCACAGCCTTCAGGTGGAGCCAAGGAGGGCAAACCTTGAACTCTTCAGAGAAAAAGCGGTATATAAATATAATAACAGATAGACAAAAAAGGAGCATCTGCTTTCACACGTCTCTGATATGTCGATGCTGTCCTAAACAGTTGTTCCAGCTCGAAATTGTGCCTTTCTAAACATTTCTGGCTGGGTATGAGCTTCCCATGGGGCAGAAGAGACAAACTGGAAACCCAAAATTGCCAACAACTGTTTGCCATGTCACTAAGAAATCTTGGAACTGGGAAGTGGATGGCCAAGATACAATAGGAGCTGCCAAATCTGGACTCATTTCCAATGCAATAAAACAAGGAGGCATTAGACCCTCTTTCCCAAAATGGGGGCTCTTATCCGATCCATCAGTCTCAGCCTCTGACATGCGGCAGCCAATGGCAAAGAGGCTTGGAGATAAATGCACATCGCTCCCGAGGACACAGCACCCCCGGCAGATGAACGACAGGCCTGGGGACACTGTCTACTCTGCGGACATGTTTTGCAAAAAGTGCTCCTTGCGAGTCTGCAACCAGGTATCTGCCAGTGCCCTGCTTATTTCATGAAACAAACAACCCAGGGCTTTTGACGATGGGCTTCAAGAGAAACAGCAACGCCGTACGCCACGATTCAAAAAAAGCGGAGCTCCGTCTTTGCCCCACCCAAAAGAGGCATGCAGATTTGGAAGAGTCACAATAGCCTGTCTGGATTCCAAGCACATCCAAAGTCAAACCCTGGCACTTCAAGAGTGCAAATCAGCAATAGTATTTTTAGCCTGATTGCAAACTTTTTGCACTTCCCAGCCAACTCCCTGAGGGTTGGTACAGCTGAGTCATTGTAGAAGCTTCCAAACAGCCGAGACTAACAATGCTGCTTCCTACTTGGCAGGGTCTGTCCTGCCTACCCACAGGCTCGGGTCTTGAGGCAAACCCAAGCAATGCTGCAGTTCTAGTGCCAAACACACTGCCAGCTGCTGCATCAAAACCCAGCAAGGGAGCTGCCTGCTGAAATCTGACTCTAGGCACAGCATCCCAGTCTTTGCTCAGTAAAGCTACCATCTCAAAGAGAATTCTCCCTTTGCCATACAATGCACAGAAAGGCCACTCGTGGGAGCACCTGCTTCCCCAGCCCTTGGCACGTTTAGCCTCTCTTCCTCTACGAAGATATTTCCCCCTCAATATTTCACCGGCGTCCCCTCCAAGGTTGCAAAGTCATTGTGCAAGGGGTGGAGTTGGGGAAGAGGATAAACAGGGGATCTACGTAGGATTAGAAACTTGCGCACTCCATACAGCCAACGACCCCAAGTGCAATACTGGGATTTGGAACTGAACTTCTCTCGTGCTACGTGACTTAAAGCGCCCAAATCCCTTTCATGCACCCTGAACTGATGCTTCAGCCCCACTTTTCTCCTCTCAGGGTGAGATCTTCGTGAAGGCTGCATTCTTACAATGCAGCATAAAGTTGGATGAACAACTACAAACTCAGGCTCCGAGTTTGCCACTGACTCTGTATTGTTTTAAAGAGCATTATATAATAATCTGGTAGTACTCCTACGCTAATACTCTATATAGTTTCTCCTAAACTGAGTAGGATGCTAATGTTGGGTTGAGCTAAAATGGGACAGTGAAGGGTTAATTCATGGTGCCCAATAATACTTCACACAGAAATATATTTAGTATCATGGTTCTAGAAAAATACGATTCAAATGCCAAAGGAACAGAAAGAGAACATTCAAGTATTTCCGCAATGCAATTATGCCTCTGAAATACAGACTTGGACAATGAACGCCTTTAGACCGGTAAATGAAATTTAATTTTCCATCAGCTGGAATTGCGGAATTTGTCCATTTGATGTCAGAGCAGTTCTCTTCAAAGACAAAATGACAATTTGATAAATTCATGTTCTGCTCGCCTACCGCCAAAGCTATGTGCTTTTATACTGGCTTATAGGAAATCTGAGAAAATTGTTTTGAATTTCCCAGACAGGGCAGTGAGTTTTTCCTCTTCTTAGAAACCTTCACTGTTGCCTACATGCTATTTAGCAGTTGTTTCTCCATTTCCTACTATAAGACCTCTTTGATCCATATGGGTCATGGGGTTAAGGACAAACAGAAGACCCCGTTTTGATCCTGCTAACTGGCCAAACACCACTTACTTTTTCTGCAGGGCCTCTCAAAAATCAACACATCTATCGTTTTAGATTCCTACGGATGGCAAGTTCCAATTTTGCCCCACCTCAAAACGTCTGCAGAAAGACCCAGCCCTAGCCTGTTGCAACTATATACTACCACAAGACAAGGAGTTGATCTTTAGCCATGAGGTCAAGGCTGTTGAAACAATAAAGTAATGGCAAGAATGGCTAACTGCAGCCCTTTATAAGGCCTTCTATAGACAGCCATTGTCCTTGGTGCATCACCAGCCACATCCCGAGGCCATCTGATGGAACGCTGCAGCTTAATTTACCAACTCCAGACTGCTAGTCCAGACAATGGCAACAAGGAAGTACAATTAGGTGTGGTGCTTCCCTATTGCCTTTTGAGCTGTCTGTATCTGCAATTCTAGGAAGCCTTACAGAATTGCAGGAACACTATGGCAGCATAAAGCAGCTGATCTCAGTACAGCCACAACTGATGGTGACAAAGAAGCTTCAGCAACCTAAGTCCTATGGTAGAGAGGCAAGCGAGCCTTTTTACAGAGCTCCTCCAAAGCCATTCAAAACCTATTTAAATTAAGACGTGGATGCCATAAGAATCTGTAATGGCCTAGCCGGTCCTGTAAAAATCCTGCCAAAATATATATGGAGAAGTCCTGCCAACTGATGGCTACAAAACGATAGGTTCCAAACCTTTATCAAGGATCCTGAAAAATTCAGTATTAATGCACAACACATGCCTTAACCACAATAGGTGCCTAGTCACTGTCCTTTGTGAAGTGCTCTGTTTTGACCCATATGAGCTTTGCATCTTCCTGAAGCATCACATTAGTCAATGTGGGAAAGGTCAACCCCGGATGGAACAGGTGTAAGCGCTCCTTATTTTAGGGACAGCTTAGGTTTAAGGAAAAACTGAGCACAATCTTCTCTGGGATTAAAAGCATCACCATGTATAAGTGACTCTCTCATCACAAGAGAGTCTTAACCCTAGATCTAAGAGGCGCTGTCAGTCATTTCTTTAATGACTGGGTTGACAGTGGCTCTGGAGCATACAAGGAAGCAGCTGAAGATCTCCCAACAGTCTGGATCCCTCCAAACATACACAACTACACTTACTACAGCCTAAATCAGCCTGGGATCATTTGGGAGTTAAAGACAGGATAAACAAACACCAACTCCTTGCCATCATCTCTGTTACAACAGCCTGCATACAAACCTACTTTTATGAAAGTCATTTCTCCAACCCAACCCACTGTACCTGCTGGACTATCCCCAAAAATGTGGCTGGAGAAAAACTCTCCCCCCTCCCCCACATTAACCAATATATGTCTCTGTGCTGCTTCAAACTTAGAAAGTTATGATTCCATATTAGGGATGGGGGGGGTGTTAATTCTCAACAGATTCCCTTCTAGGAAGGAGAGAAGGAGCTGCTAGGGGTCCGTTCTTTCACCAAGAACAGCTCCCGGTAACAGAGCTGCAAAAGGCAATCCAGCAACTGTTGCTGTGCGTCAGCAGATTCACTTACCAGACTGCGTGCTTGGCTGGGCTGCAGCATCCGTATCCTGGGTACTCCACGGCCTATCCCACCCTGGCAGGCTGAGAGACTGCAGTCCAAGGCACAGGTCGCTGGCGTCTGGGAGACCACGCGGAGACTCCTGGGCAGAAGGGGGGAAGAGCATCCTGCTTGCTGCTCCTGTTCCCTCGGAGTCTGGAAACTCTGCTCAAACAGGAAGGGGGGAAAAATGAAAGCCACGCAGACCCACACAGGTGCTTCGGACTTTCCCACGCAGCCAAGCTCCAGCCAGATCTCACGGCGCTCAGGGACTATGCTACAGGCAGCGACTTCTTACATCCAGCCAGAGAAAAAGTACCATATGGCCTGTAAACAGAGCTTCCTCTACCTTCCACCTTCCAATCCCGCCTGCACTACTGACTGGGCCAGCATGTGATCAAGCGGCTGATGCTTACCGTGTGCCATAGACGTCACTCGGCCATGCAACAGAACCACATCTTCGTTTAGAGGAGAGAGGTGGAGAACAAACCTGCCCATGGGAGTCCAGGCAGCATGCAGGAGAAAAGGAGGCGCAGTCACCGCCAGCCCGGGGAGCGTCGCTTAAGCAGGGAGCTGGGGCTTAGCTAGCAGCAGTGCAGGGAGGTGGCTCGAAACAGCCACCCCTTCAGCAACAGCTGTAGCAGAGCGGCAGCCACAGAGCGAGAGAGAGAGAGAGAGAGAGAGAGAGAGAGAGAGATCACACTGTCGGCTTGGTGCTCTCCTGGCCCCGCCCACACCCCCCAAAAATCCTTTTCACCCTGGAAAGCTTTCAGCTCCTGGCGCAAGCCCTAGAAGACAACGAAAAATGCAAAGCTTCACAATTCTGCTAGCATCATCTCTTTGCTTTAAACTTGGCAACCGGGTTCGCTGTTTCTCTGCATTGTTTATGAGTATGGATAGCCTCTGAAAGGGGGAAAAAAGGGATTCTGAGCTAGAAATGTGCCCACACACTGGAAAAGAGGGTAATGCTAATACAGACAGCCATAAAACGGGCACGGTGTTGAGGAAGCACCCCCAAACATTTTTTATTTTCCAACGACCGTAGTCACAGGTTTCTTACCGAGGGGCGTAATCCGTCACTGTGCTGCGTCTTATTCCAAACATGCTTATAAGAAAAATGCAGTGTATTTTTCCAATTCCAGCATAATGCAGAGATCAGGGTGGGAACTGGGCCATGGAAAGGTTATCTCCACTGCAAACCCCATTTCCCTTCCTTCGCACAGCCTCATAACAGCTGGGGCTCATATCACATATAGCCAAGTTTCTCACGCCATCCTCTGGGCTTGCTAAGAAAATGGACTTGCCTTCCCAGGTCTGACCTTTCCAGGACCAGTTTAAACTTTTAGGATGCAAAGGAACAGCCAATGCAACATAACTGGGATGCAAAACCCAACTTACTGCAAATTATGTCTTGCAGGATCAAAGGCAACCCCACAATCCTCATTATCTAACTTTACATAAGTAAATGCTGCTTAAAATCAGGGATGTCTCTACACAGAGGCTTATCTGACAAAAGAATTGCTTTCCTTCCAAGCTGTAGGAACCAGCATACAAAATAGATCCTCCTCTGCATTCAAAAAGTGAGCCTAGTTCCTGCCTTGCCTTATAAACAAATCAACAATAGTTTCTCACACTTGCAAGGTCGTTTGCTTTATGCAAATGTTGGGCACTTCTGGTTATGCTAATAGAAAATAAAGAACTTTTGATATTATGCCAATGATATTCTCATCAGAATTAGCTAAAGTTGCAAAACTTAAGTTTCAACCACTTGACTCATTTTCTCTCTCTCTTTTTTAAAGTTCCTAGTAAAATTTGAATTCAGGTTCTTTATAACCTGAAATCAGCGCTTGACTAAAATGCAAGCTGGCTTCACACACTACACTAAGCCACCATGTGGTTTGTTTGGTGTTGGGTTGTATAAATCTAGCCAATTCTATAAGGATTGGAAGAGAGGCCAGCTAGAATCAAAGTAGGAGGCTAAAACACTAGCGAGATGTGCAGATAACATCACTTCTAAGGAAGACTTAGAAGAGCTCATCCTGAATCTGAGTTGATGTTAAATATGAAGAAAACAAAGGTAATGTCATGCTACTTATGGAACTTGTGCAAGAATTAAGGTAGTGGTTTGTTTTCTTGAGTTGAATAATAGATAAAGATGAACATGAGATTGAGAAAGACAACAGAGAGCCAGTTTGGTGTAGTGGTGAAGGTGCTGGCCTAGAACCCAGGAGTCGGTGAATTCTAGGCCTCCCTTAGACATGAAAGCCAGCTGGGCCACTTTGGGCCAGTCCCTCTCTCTCAGCCCAACCCACCTCACAGGGTTGCGGTTGCTGTGGGGAAAAGAAGAGGCAGGAATATTAGGCACGCTACACTCGCCTCGTATACATGCACGTATGTATGTAAAAAAAGGGTGGGAAAAAAATCTAATAATAATAATGATAAGTATTCAATAGCCTTTGAATTATTTATTTATATTATTTATATTTCAAATTTGGTCACTGCCCATCTCACTATCCAAATAATAATGATAAGTATTCAATAGCCTTTGAATTATTTATTTATATTATTTATATTTCAAATTTGGTCACTGCCCATCTCACTATCCAAATAATAATGATAAGTATTCAATAGCCTTTGAATTATTTATTTATATTATTTATATTTCAAATTTGGTCACTGCCCATCTCACTATCCAAATAATAATGATAAGTATTCAATAGCCTTTGAATTATTTATTTATATTATTTATATTTCAAATTTGGTCACTGCCCATCTCACTATCCAAATAATAATGATAAGTATTCAATAGCCTTTGAATTATTTATTTATATTATTTATATTTCAAATTTGGTCACTGCCCATCTCACTATCCAAATAATAATGATAAGTATTCAATAGCCTTTGAATTATTTATTTATATTATTTATATTTCAAATTTGGTCACTGCCCATCTCACTATCCAAATAATAATGATAAGTATTCAATAGCCTTTGAATTATTTATTTATATTATTTATATTTCAAATTTGGTCACTGCCCATCTCACTAGGAAGTGACTCTGGGCAGTTTACAATAAAACTTATGGTTTTTGAGATTGTTACTGAGAGTGTTATGGACCAATCAATCGCTCCAGGACCAAATGAAGTCTGGTGTTCCCTCAGCGAATGATCCAGCAAGCACAGACTCACATACTTTGGGCAAGTGATGAAAGAGGAAGATGGAATATAAGAAAGACTATGCTTGAGAAAGTTGAGAGAAGCGGAAGAGATGCACAACGGAGAAGGTGAGTAGATGGGATCAAAGACACTACAGGAATATCCTTAGAAGAGTTACAAAATTGCACACAGGTTGAAATGATAAGCATTTGTCTATTCTGTCACCAGGAATCAGATCCAACTCAGTGGCACCTAACTAGTTAGCTTTAATGGGCAAACTTAGAGCCAGAAATATCCCAAAACTTCCAGAGAACCATCTGTATCTAGCAAATTTTCCAAGAATGAACTTGTAGGGCTACATTAACCCAACATGGTTCAGCAAGCTAACAAGAGCCTGCTGGATCAGGCCAAGAGCTCATTTAATCCAACATTATACATGGCCAACCCAGTATATCCAGGGAACTCACAAAACACTAGCGTCCTCTTTCAATCACATTCCCAACCACCCAGTATTTATAGTATTCTACCTGTGATTCTGGAATTAGTAAACAGTCATCAAGACTAGCAGTTGCTGACAGGCTGTTCCTCCACGGATCTGCCCACTTTAAAGCTGTCTAAATTAGTGGCCTCTGATGCCATACCCAAGCTAGCAAACGCCAGAAGAAAGTGCTAAGAAACGGACAGCTATTTCTAATATTTCCCTTGCATAGTCTTACTATCTAATATTATTTTTTCCAATAATTCTATTAAAATTATACAGGTAAAACTTAAACAAAATAAATACATTTTTAAAAATTAAAATTTAAAAAAGTGCAGAAAAAGAGAGAAACCTCCCCCTTCATCTCCAGCAAATATAATCAATATTAGCAACTTATCATGATCTCTTAAAATATAACCAGATGTCTCTCCATTCATATTTATCTTTCTATAAAGCCATCTCTAGAATCTCATCTCTCCCTATTAAACAGCAGAAGTCCAGTAAGGGTTGCCAGAAATAACAACCTAAATATTACAAATTGTATCTATTACCCCTAATCTGAATCCTTTCCTTTTAAGCAAATCCCATTTCTTCTTTTCTAATAATCAAAATCCTGTCACACTCAGAAAGCAATTGAACATTACCAGAAAATACCACCATCATTCACTCCTGATCAAAAAGCCATTAAACATTCCCCAAAACAACCACCTGTTATTTTAACCTTGATTGAATAAACCAATTCTGTACTCTTTCTTCTTTCTGCAAACAATCTTTAAAATCCTCAAAGAAAGTTCCAGCATCTGCCTTCTCATACTCTTTTCTCTCAAAGTTCTTGCCTTCATCTTTATCAAGCCCCCTTTGCACTCCCAACATAGTAACTCCAGCAAATCCCTCTTGTAAATCCAACGTAAGGAAATAATCCAGATCATTCCTTTGATTTATTGTTTTTTCGATTTTTAAGTCATCATCTTTCACTTGTAAATTCATTATTTCAATCTCCTTCTTGTAAGCTCTAATTTTTAATTCCACCTGTAAGTCACTCTCAGTTTTATTCAATGGGGTTTGTTCCTCTGCAGTAACACCGAATGAACCCACGAAGCAGTTAAATTGTTGGAAAAATTCCTGTCGCCATAAATCAAGCATTTCTTTTAAGATAGCCATCTGGTGCCCTCTAGTGTATAATCTTCAAAGTGGTTATCAGAATGTAAATACGTACTTTCCCATGGGAGAGGATCGTTTCAATTAACTTCAAAGTCTTAAATCAAATCCATCTGAGCCCTTAATCTGTGTAAAACTTTCTAAAGCCAACAATAATCATCCTTTTCCTGTATGTTCGAAAAAATATAAATCTTAAACTTATAATTAAGCTGTTGTTTTTTTTTTAAAGGATTGAAGGAACTCACCCTGCGATTTCAGTAAAACTTGCCAGACTGAAGGTTCTCAATCTTTAAAGAAAGCCCCCAAAATAAACTCCAAAGTGATTAAGAAATGTGCTGAGTCAAACTTAAAGTCCATATAGGCAACATCAGCGGGGCTATAAGTATGATGGAAACCTATGACTCCCAGCTTGCAAGCTGACTGCGAAAACACAGTTTCTGCCCCCCACTCGCAAAAACCCCAGCTATATGGAATACATGTGGGTTATCTGATGATCTCTTTAACTCAACTCCAGCAGCTCGATTCCTGCAATCAGGCACTGATTCAGCCACAATGTGTTTCTGTCCTTCAGAGGAACATCAGTTCGCCATTCAGCTCACCAGAAGTGTGTGATATATATATATATATATATATTTATTTTAAAGGAAGATAAAAACTAATACAAACTAATACACAGTAAGAAAAAGAAATCAAAGAG